ATTGTCAAAAGTCCACTTAGATTTATTCAATTACTTTAGAATTTCAGTTGACAAGCCAAACTATCTTCTATATTACTACATACTAGTATTCTGTTTGGGATTCACTTACAGTTGTGGCACAAGTTACCATAATCATTTGGTCTTCTTTCTTCTGAAGATCCTCTGATCCTTTTGTCAAAGTGCACTTAGGCTGATTCAATTACTTTAGAACCACGCTTTGATGGAATAAATTATTTTTCTTATCTTCTTTTCTACTGTTAGTCTTACTCTAACATATTAAACATTGGGCCTGTCACTTCTACTGTAGTTAACTTCACACTGAACTTTTCCTTGGACGTAAAGTCTGTCTGCTATTTCCACTCATCTAACACTATTTACATCTTTATCATCTAATCGTTTGTCTGACTTCTATATTCTCAATGTTCAATAGTCTTATCATCAATGAATTAATACAACCTCCCACAATCGTCTACCCTTAGCTCTTATTATAACAAAACTAAACAATAATAAAATATTCACTCACAAAAACAAATCAGTCAATAACATCTAAACTAAACAGTCTTTTATATCGTAACAAACAACATTACTCAGAATCTCATCACAGATTGCCCGAACACTATTTTTAGTACAAAGTATTCGTACATTGTAATCTCACCACAGACGTTCCATCCTATTCTCACCACAAGTTTACCCAGGTACTATTCTCATTATAAACTACTCAAATGGTATTATCACTACAGATCATCCAGACACTGTTCCCATTAGAATTCCCTAAAAATATTTTGACTACAGATTATACAGACAGTTTTTCACTATAAACTACCCATATATTGTAATCGTACTACAGAATATCAGAATATCCAGTCTCTGTGTTAACTACAAACTATCCATACTTTATATAATCTCTCTCTACGGAAATACAGAGCTATTAATAATAGCTGTATTATCAATACAGACCAATAATATAACTGTTATAATTTAAGACCACTCAAACACTGTTATTACAAAAGACAACCTATGTGCTAGTCCCACTACAAGTTTTCTAGACATCATAATTACAACACTGTAATCCCACAGACTATCCACAAACC